TCCTAAGATGTGGGGCTGGAAAGGTGAAGGGACAGGGGTGGGGACGACCTACCTCTCCATCTGTATTCCATTGATTTAGGTTATACATCTCAGTCGCCGTCTCAAAATCCGACGGAAGTTGCAGTGGCTAGGTGGTGCTAGGTCTTAGATTTGGACTGTCAAACAATTGAGAGAGCTTTATCTCGCTGTTGGCAACAATTGTCACAAGCTCGATGTCCAAGATTGGTGGTGAATCTATGGCTGCTCTCCTTATTGGCCACTCCTTCAGCAGTTAATTTGGTCCAACGGGGACTAAGGATTGGTATGACCTGCAAAAGATGCAATTGGGCGTTTGAGTCAACTACCCATTCGTGGTATGATTGTCCAGCCTCGATCAGAATCGGGGAGTGGTGGGAAAAGTTCTGGGACGACATTACAGACAGGTGCTTACCTTGGAACCGAGACTGGGTACTCTTGGGAGGATTACCAGATAACCTGGAACTTACCAAGGGATGGGGCTATGTTGCTCAAGTAGCCCGAGCAGTTGGCTGTGATGTGATCTGGAATGGAAGAAATAAACGTATCTTTGAAGCCAGAGAAATGCCCAACAGGGAAATCAGGGGTTCCTTCAGGGGCTCCCTACGCCGCATCATTCAAGCTGATTGGAGGAGGAAGGGTAGGACAAGAGCAGGAGAATGGTTTGGAGCTACCTGGGGAATAGGTGGGAAACTAGCAAAACTGGAGGTAGGCAAGCTAGTTTTGGCCGAGTGGTTTTGGGCAAAATAGGACTTTGTAGGAACCTGGGGTACTCATTTCATTTATCCCCAGTAGGAAGTCGGGGGGTGTTGGTCTGAGGCAGGAGCGCCCTTATTTTACACCGGCCGATGCTGGTCCGGGCTGCCGGTCTGTTAGGCAGCTTGTTAGGAAGGATGTAGCATCTTGTTTGTTTGGTTTTTCAGGGCTTGCAGCCGTTGTTTTGTTGGTGGCTTGTTTTCTGTTTGTTGGGCTTTTAAGGTCTGAGACATTGTTGTGTGTTTTCAGAGGATGGGTTATTGTTGAGTGTTTTCAGAGGATGGGTTTTCAGGGCAGCGGTCCCAGGGTTGGCCAATTCTGTCCCTAGATATTTCCTGACCTCTGTTGGTGTTAAGAGTCATTCAGTCTCTTCCCAGCCAGTTGGCTGTAAGCGCAACCGGCTGATGCGGCCGGGATAACTCCGGGTTGAATTGTGAGGTCCCCGGCCTCCTTCATTGCTGTGAAATAAGGAAAATAAAATAAAATAAAATAAAATAAAATTGCGGACAAAGAAGGATTGCAGCCGGAATAGTGAGCAACGGCCGGGCTCCACAAGCGAAATTGCATGCGAACTTAGCACGAACCGCACAAGCGAAATTGCATGCGAACTTAGCACGAACCGCTCCACCAGGTTCATGATTAGGGTGCAATCACACGAGGACTTCTTTCACCTAATCTGGCTGTAGTTGCGGTCCGATGCATTGAGGAAAGTCCCTTGTGAGCGCGGGCCCTTGCAACGGAATTCATCCAACGCGTCTTGAACGTAAGCAAAAGGCTGCGCTTTGCAGTACAAAACAGCCGACATCCTGCCGTTAAATACCAGCAAATAGGTACCGCCACTCTTTCGTTCCGCACCTTCCCCACCCGTAGTTGGCGGGTATCCCACCGCCTGCCTCTAGGGCATTCTTTTCAAGAGCCGGAGGTCCGCAAGACGTGCAGGTGCCGTTCTCAGACAGCAAATTTGAAGGACAGGGAAGTCCAACACAAAAAAGAAGACCAAACAGCAGAGTTGAAAGACAATAACAGAAAATGAGGAAATACACACGATCAGCCGCGCGGGTGAGGCTAAAAACAAAGACAGACAGAGATAGAGAGAGAGAGAGAGAGAGAGAGAGAGAGAGAGAGAGAGAGAGAGAGAGAGAGAGAGAGAGAGAGAGAGAGANAGAGAGAGAGAGAGAGAGAGAGAGAGAGAGAGAGAGAGAGAGAGAGAGAGAGAGAGAGGATGGGAACTGGGAGACAGGGAGAGAGAGAGGGAAAGAGGAACAGCGAGAGAGAGAGAGAGACATCGACACAGAGCGAGCGAGAGGCAGAGAGGAGATCAGAAGAGAGAAGAAAATGGATGGAGAAAACATAGACGAAGGGAATGAATCGTCAGCACGGCAGTCGGATGTCGTTCGTTGCTGCACCGCCTGAGATGGCACAACATGCCAGTGCAGTCGGCACCCTCAGCTCGTTTTTTGGCTAACTGAGCGTAGATAGCCCGGACCGGAAGTATCATTCAGCCTGCCCAATCCACCCCAATATCAAGAACCCCCATCAAAGGGACCACTTACGCCTCCGATATAACAGACAACCTGGTCCTTCAGTGAAAGGGGAATCCACATCGAGGTGGGAGAAACACTCCACCTCAGAACCCTGCTTTTCCTACCGACGCATTACGTCCTGTTCGTACCGAAGACAGAGACTTCCAATCGACAACGATCCGCTCACGCCCTTCATCGGTTCTTTTGCCCATCAGATGGATCTCTCCATGGATCTTCCCAACTCCCACTGCAAACACGAGCAAGAAAAGAGTGCCACATTGAACAAAAGCACCGAGGACTGTAAATGGAGGGTTGGGGGATTGGTTGACTAGTTGCGTGTGTGTGTGTGTGTGTTTGAGGGGGGGGGGGGGACGGTGCTATCAGGTCGATTCAAAAGCCACAGATCCATCGCTGCAGTTAATTAAATAATTAATGTTTCCGGCACCTCGAAGATCCCGCCCAATTACGTGCATTCTCAGTGTTTCAGGAAAATCGGAAAACAAGAGCAGCGTGCCCACTGCGGGAAAATGTCACGCACAACTCGACGAATGCTCCGAGACAACGCCACCGGCACAACCTGAAACCTGCAGTGAGACAAACGGCAATGAGCGAGCAACCACCCAGCCCATGCGGCTGAATGGTACGCCCGTGAACTGTTGATAAATAGACTTAAGTTCGAGTCCTGATGGTATCAGACGAACAAAATAGCTCTCGCTCGGTCAGTTCAATCGATGTCATATCGGTCAGTTCAATCGATGATGACACCTCAAGGCCGTCGCCTTTTCTAAGAAATAAACGACTCTTCCAGGAAAGAAGCGAGCCCCCCAACGCGCTACGGTATACGTTCAACACCCACCCCCAGTTTCCGCCCCCCCACCCTCGCCTCCTGTCTCTTCCTGTCAATACTTACTACCGTCTGAACCCGACCACAAGGCATCCTCGTCATGAACGTATATAACTAATCTTTCCAGTCCGGTGCAGTCATGATGACGATGCATTGTGTTCAGGGGAAGCTGGGGGTTAGCAACATGTTGCTTCCACACGCCGGCGGTCACTCCCTATTTCAGGCAAGCGCACTTATCGGTAGGCGACGATCATATTGCGGTGTCTACCAGGGCGTAGTACACCGTCCTCCCTAAGACATAGGGCCGCATTGCTCCACTGCTCACCGTCACCAAATGTGAGAAGTGGAAAGTGCATCTGCCCGTTAAGACAGGAAAGCTACACTCGCTCGTCATTTTCTACATTCGGCGAGTAGTGGAGCGAGGCCATATTCGATCTCTCGGCGAGAGTTAGTTTCACCATTTAAACAAACGGCAACTTCCTGATGCCCAACGGGACAAACTCTCAAATGATTCGCATTCCAACCAATGCGCTAAAATTCCCATTCAGACGTATGCTCTACTGGGCTGGGCTAATACATCGGCTAAGGTAGCATTCGCATCGTTCGATGATGACACAAATCCATCTCTCGGCCAGAGTTTCTTTCACCAAAGGCTTAAGCAAGGGCGACCTCTTCGTGCCCATCGGGACCTCTTATAACTCTCTCATAATTCCCACTCAAAGGTATGCGCTAATGGACTGGGCTAATACATCGGCTAAGGTAATATTCGCTTATTCGCTTCGCTCGATGATGACAGAAATCGCTATCATCTGTACATACGGTAAATGAACCCTGAATCCTGACTACTGTGCTCCCCATCGGCTAAGGGAGTAATCGCTTCGCTCGATGATGACAGAAATCGCTAACATCTGGACATACGGTAAATGAACCCTGAGTCCTGACCACTGTGCCCACCCCCCTTTCCTTAGGAGCGGGCGGACACGGGTTCGCCCTGTGTTGATGGCCTAGTTACGCAGAGAGGCATTAACACAACCAACAGAGGTGGCAGACGAGACCACTGGCCGAGATGGCAGCCAACGACGCCAGATCAGAACCAGGATCGCGACGGTTTTTTTCAGCCGAGAGATTCACGACAGCTCAGTGGCATTTACCTTCGGAATTCGACTCAGACAGCCACGTTGAGCCATTTGTCGATGCGAAGGGACGTGCCTCATCTCCAGAATCCAATACCCCAATGCCCCAATGCCCCAATGCCCCGTTACCCGCAACACATCCACCCTTCTTGCATTCATTTGTTTGGCGGGCATGTAGTGCACTGTTGCCAGTGCCAGAGACGGCCAAGGACGGTTACATGGACACCAGAAGTCATCCATTGGGAAGAGAGTAAGCCAAGAAGAGACACACCGCACAAGAGAGCTAGCCACCAAGTGGGATAGAGAGGTCCGCAAGAGAACAGGAGGAAAGCAAAACGAAGACGACAGGATGGCAGTAACGGGACATTTTAAGATAGGCGCGGAAAACCCTTACGCATGACCCGCGGAGAACGAAGCCGAGTGAGAGAAAGAGAGGGAGAGAGAGAGAAAGAGAAAGAAAGAAAGAGAGAGAGAGAGTAAGACTTAGGCGCCAGGAATAGCAAGCGAGTAAAGTAGCTGGCCCCTGACATCCTCACAAGGAGAAAAACGACACAAAACAACAAAGACTTCTCGGAGAGGGCGGACGTGCGTTCGCGTTGGCCGGAAAGCAGAATAATGACGGCGGAGGAAGGAAAGCGAAGCGGATCACATAGGGGCAGCGGCAGGTGTAAGTCTGTGTAAGAGAGAGAGACAGGAGGAAAGACGGGGAAAAAGAGATCATTCACCTACCTTGATAACCGGCATGCTGCCGCCGAACATAAGCACGACGCTCATCTGAAGCAAGACGCGAAACGTGTCCCGTATATTGTCTGCGCGGAATTCACGGAAACTCTCAGCGCAATCACCTCCCTGCAAGAGGAATGCTTTTCCCAATGCCGCCTGTGCCAGCTTCTCTTCCAAACTCCTTGCCTCTCCCGCGAACACCAGTGGTGGGAGAGTTTCGAGTGCCCACAGTGCCTCATCGAGCTGTTCTTGATCGGGATACTCGGGCTGCTGGGCAGCCTCCTTGTCCTTCCAACTGTCGGGCGACCAGTTGTCCGTCGGCAAGACAACGCGATCGGACACGGTGGTTGCCGCTTCCCCGTCGCCAGAGGCGAGAGTCTCTGCCGTCTGCGCGCAACGCGCGGCCCCTGCATGACGACTCCTCCCCCTCTCGCCATCCCGCGTAGCACGCTGGCGATTTCCTCGTAGCTCGCCGACGCCGCCGATGGCATGAAGTCCTGCCCACTGCCCTCTCGAGGACCCCCTTGCCCTGGGGTTAGCCAGGACGATGGGATCTTCCTGTCTGTCGCACGATGGCTGCTTATTTGACTGGAGGGAGACAAACCCTCCGCGCAGCGCGGCCGCCGCCTTGCATGCCGCGATCGCCATGGCTTTCCACTTCCCCTCCTCTGCTTCACCTCGCCCTTCAGGAGGTGGGCACGAAGCTGCCGATTGAGAAAAGAGAACCGGAGGTGGAGGAGACCCGGGACAGACAGATGGCGATGGCGCGGAGCGCAAACGGCCGCAGCGACCGACAGACAGCCGCGCCGAAACAGCTTGCAACACGGGCCTCTGGATACCTGCCTTGCCAAGATCGGGATACCAAGTCATACGGCAGGTAGATGCCACGCGGCTCTCCCAAGGTTTCCGCGGACTTCAGCTTTTCCGAATCTGGACGTGTTCCCATGTCGTACGGCAGGTAGATGCCAGATCCCACTGGCAAAGAGGATTGCAAGAAATGTCTGAATCTGGACGTGTTCCATGTAGAGGTGCAGAAAAGTAGATCAATTACAATTTGCGCACCTGTCCACAAACACGTCCCGATAGAGACATTTCTTCCAATCCAGGCCACCACGGAAACAAATGGAATGAAGGGCGTTGCCGCACGGCACACGAAACCAGAAACGAAACAAATGTATCTTGCCGCAGAAAATGGCCGGGTTCTTCAGTTTGCTATAAATAGTGACGAGTGTATTTTGCCACATTCGGTGGGCAGATGCACTCGTTTCGGTTTCGTTTCGTGTGCCGTGCGGCGAGACACGA